GAAAGGAGGAAATGAAAAAGATGAGAAGGAAGACTTTAGGACGATTTCATTGAAATTATTATTACCAGGACAGACTGATACTATTGATATCATGGTGAGCAAGGAAGGAACGATCATTTAATTGTTGATTTAATTTTTATTATTTTTCAATTGAAGCTTATGACATGTGCTCTCTCTCCCTCTCTCTCTCTTTTTCTCTAGCATGTTGCTAAAGATACAGTGAATGATTTATTACAGTATGCATTTGAGAAACCTGACTGTTGCTATAGGACATGTCTCTCATTAAGGCTGAGAGGAAGGAAGCTTGACAACTTCTCAGAGATTGGCTCTGTCTCCGGTCTAAAGGATGGTTCAGTCATAGAACTAGTTGAAGGTACAAACAACTGCACATAGTGTGATTCATGTAATGTAATTATTATAAAGTATGGAGTATTTTAAATTAGGGGCAAGAGAGAGAAAGAGAGAGGGGGGAAGAGAGAGAAAGAGAGAGAGGGGGTGGAAGAGAGAGAGAGAGAAAGAGAGAGAGGGTGTTCTTATTTTGATTATTCTTATGTATGTGACATGTTGCAGTTGTATAGTGTGCATTGTCCCTATTGTGTCTCTCAATATGATATTGATGTTGTCTATATTGAATGATACAGTCTAGATCATAATTATTGCTATTGACACATATACCCACTAATCTTTTCAAAGCCCTCTCTTATCCTTTTTTCTGTTTGCTCCTGTCTCTTATTCTAGAGCCATATACACTAAGAGATGTAATGGTTCACATCCAAAGACTACAAGAGTTGATTGGAGTGGATGTACTTCAGTCGTCATACACGTGTAGCAATGGTCTCTCCCTCTCATTCCTTAATCCAATCATCAGTACCAACCTTGATGCTACACCTACAGGTAATAATCTTTCATTCATTATTCTACCATATTCTTACTCTGTATTTCTGTGTGGAGAAATTTTAATTTTTACTATAGTACATGTGCTGTCATTGTGAACTATGGAAACATGTCTTATTAAAATACCTATAAAAATTGCTCTCTGTCTTTGTGTGCTTTCAATGGAGTCATTATGCAACTTTCTTTTAGTGCAAGCAAGCATTGAGACATTCACTTGATACATGTGTTACACCTGTGCAATGTACACGTGTATTTGTGTTTCCTTATACTGTAGTGCAAATACAACATGTACTTTGCTTTTGTGCCTCCTTGTTTCTATTTAATGCTGACATGTAATGTACATACATGTACATTGTACATGTAGCTGTCTGTGTTCATGCATATACAAGCTATGTTCTATTACTTGTGTTGTCTTTTTATTAAGAACACAAGGCATAGTGTACATTGTTGCATCTACATACTTTACTCAAGATTAGAGTAAAGTACAGTTTTTCAGTACTATACATGTTATGTACATGTAGGTACAGTTTCTATAAATTTATAGCCTAAATTCCACCTACATGTAATGCCATGAGTTCTTTAACTCATGATGGGATTTCCTTCTTTGTGTAGTAATTAGTTGTGGCTATGTTGCTTATCCAGCTGGCAGGAATATTTTGAATTGGATAATATTGAATAATATTTGTTCTCTTTGAGCATGTGTGGAGATATATTGTAAATTGTACCTATTCATTTATGCATGTATGTGTAGTAGCTAGCTTAATTTCCCTTTCATCTCTCTC